TCAACTTCAGACCTTGTTATTGGCCTCTTCATGGTTATATTCTGGACACAAAACTCATATCAGATTGTTACCTGCAAATATTTTTTTTCCTGTTCTGTGAGTTATCTTTTCCCTTTCTTAATGTGGAATGAAGTGAAGGGATCCAACTTCATTCTTTTGCATAGGGATATCCAGCTCTTCCTGCACTATTTGTTAAAGTCTATTATTTTCCCTGCTAAATGGTCTTGGCATTTTTTGTTGAAAATCAGTTGGTCACAGGTGTTGGGGTTTGTTTATGGTCTCACAGTTCTATTTCATTGTTCTGTATGTCTTTTCCTATACCAGAAAATGTATGTTATGATTGCCATATAGTTTTATACAGTAGTCTCCACACATCCATGGTTTTACTTTGCAGTTTCAGTTACTCATGGTCAACTGTGGTCCAAATATATTAAATGGAAAATTTTAGAAATAAACAGTTCATAAGCTTTAAACACTACATTATAATGCCTACATCATTAACCTAAGTTCATCTTTTTATATAGGTATTTTATCATCTCATCATCACAAGAGGAGTGAGTACAGTATAATAAGACATTTTGAGGGAAATCAAGATGATACTCATATCAGTTTTAAGTTATTACATTATATTGTTTTAATTGTCCTATTTTTGTTAATATCTTACTGTGCCTAATTCATAAAACTTTATCACAGGCATGTATTTATAAGTAAAAACATATAAAGAGTTCTATAATATTTGTGATTTCAGGTTTCCACTGGGTGTCTTGGAATGTACCCCTGTGGATAAGGAGGGATTACTGTAGTAAGTTTTGAAATGGAGAAGTGCGAGTTCTCCAACTTTGTTTTTTGTTTTTTGGGTTTTTTTTTTTTTTATTAATTTGATTATTTTGGGTCCTATGCAATTCCATATGAATTTGAGGACCGGTTTTTCCTTTACTGCAGAAAAGGCCAATGGAATTTTGATAGGAATTTCATTGAGCCTGTATATCATTTTGGTGAACATTACCATCTTAACAATATAGTTTTCCAACTGATGAACACAAATGTCTTTCCATTTTTATATCTTTGATTTCTTCTGCAATGTTTTCTAGTTTTAACTCTATAAATCTTTCTACTATCATTAAATTTATTCCTAGGCATTTAATCTTTGAAATCCTTGTCTTATTCCTGATTTTAGGGGGAAAGTTTTTACTCTTTCACCCATGGAGTATGGTGCAAACTGTGAGTTTCACAAATACCACTTATCATGTTAAGGGAGTGTCCTTCTTTTCCTAGTTTTCTGAGTGTTTTTTATCATGAAAAGATGTGAAATGTTGTCAAATGCTTTTTCTGTGCCTTTTGATCTAATCATGTGGTTTCTTTCCTTTGTTTTACTAATATAGTGTGTTACATTTATTGATTTTCTTATGTTGAACTACCTGGGACGAATCCCACTGGTCATGGTGCATAATCCTTTAAATGTGCTGTTGGATTCAGTTTGTTAGCATCTTTTTTGATGATTTTTCATATATATTCATAAGGGCTATTGGTCTGTAGTTTCCTTTTCTTGTGCCATCTTTGAGTATGGTATCTTAGTAATGCTGACCTCATAGAATGTATTAGAAAAGTGTTTCCTAGTTTTCTTTCTTTCTTTCTTTCTTTTTTTTTTTTTTTTGCAAGATTTTGAGGAGGATTGGTGTTACTTCTTCTCTAAGTGTTTGGTGGAATTTATCTACCATTTGTGGTTGGTCCGTTCTTTGTTGGAAGTTTTTGATTATTGAGTCAAACTATTTGTTATGGGTCTTTTGAGATTTTCTATTTCTTCTTCAGTCAATTTTTAGTAATTCATGTGTTTTTAGGAATTTGTTCATTTTATCTTGCTTGAAAACAACTTTGTTTTACTTTCAAACTGTATTTGAACTATGGTCTTTGGGTCTAAAGTCAGTCTCTTGTATGCAACCTATATTTGGATCATGTTTTTGTTTGTTTATTCACTGTGCCAACTTCTTCTTTTAATTGGTAAACATAAACTATTTTATTTTGATTACTGATGATGGACTTTTGCCTTTTTGCTATTTTGTTCTATGTCTTTTATCTTTTTTGTTTCTCAAATTCCTCCAAAATTGCCTTTTGTGATTGATTTTTTTCCTAGTGTAACATTTGGTCTCCTTCTTCATTTCCTTTTCATTTTTTAATCATTTTAAAAATAGTTACCTGGAAGACTACAGTTAACATCTCTTAGGGTCTGGGTTGTTTTCCCCCCTTGAAAAAAAAAATCATGTGTTAAATCTCCAACCCACAGTACCTCAGATTGTATCTCCGCTTATTCATGGGGAATACATTCCATGACCTCCAGTGTATGCCTGAAGCCACAGACAGTACTGAAACCTATATATGTTATGTTTTTTTCCTATACATACATATCTATGAGGAAGTTTAATTTATAAATTCAGCACAATAAAATATTAACAATAAAAACTAATAAAATAGAATAATTATAAAAATATGATGTAATAGAAATTTTGTGAATGTGGTCCCTCTATCTCTCAAAATATCCTATTGTACTGTACTTCACCATGCTTCTTGTGTTCTATCAATCTGATAACTGAGATGATTATTGAGTGAGTAATAAGCAGGTATTTGTGTCCCAGTTGGGACAGAGCCAGATGGTACAAGATTTCATGAAACCTCTCAGAATGGCATGAAATTTAAAATTTACAAATTGTTTGTTTCTGGAATTGTTTATTTCTAGAATTCTAAAAATATTGAATTTCTAGAATTTAATATTTTTGGATTGTGGTTTACCACAGGTAAATGCAACTGCAGAAAGTAGAACTGTAGAGAAGGGAAGATTACTGTATATTTGGAGATGGAACCTTTAAAGAGATGATTAAGTTAAAATGAGGCTATTAGGGCAGGCCTAATCCAATTTTACTTGCATACTTATAAGAAAAAAAAATTACAAATACAAAGAAGTATCAGAGGTGTGTGTATGTACAAAGGAAAAAAAACACATGAAGACACAGTGAGAAGGCAGTTATTGGCAAGTCAAGGAGTGAGGTTTCTGGAGAAATCAAACCTGCTAACAACTTGATCTTAGACTTCTACTCTTCAGAACTGTGAGAAAATAAATTCGTTGTTTAAGTTACTCAAACTGTGGCATTTTGTTGTGGCAGCCCTAGCAAATACATAACTACCAATCCAGTAGAACTGTTACCAACTTAACTTTAATAGCTGTCATTAATTCTGCCCCTACCCAGCTCTGTTCGTTGCTTTATGTTGTTAATGCCACAAACTATAACTTTATATATTGTGTACCCATTGATTCATTATTATTGTCTATGCATTTATTTTTTTAATTATATAGAAAAAAAAGAGGAGCTACAAATCAAAAATAGAATAATACTGACTTTTTTATTTATCTTAACCAGAGATCTTTGTTTCTTCCTATGGTTCTGAGTTACTATTTATTGTTTTTTTTCATTTGAGCCTGAAACATTTATCCCTTTATTCATCCCTTCAGCATTTTCTGTAGGGCATGTTTCCCAGGGATGAACTATTTAGCTTCTGTTTCTCTGAGAATATTTTAGTTTCTCCCTCACTTTCAAAGGATGATTTTACTGCAAACAGAATTATTGGTTGACAGTTTTGGGTTTTGTTTGTTTGTTTCTTTTAGCACTTTGTATCATCCCATGCCTTCTGGCCTTTGTGCTTTCTGATGAGAATTGATGCTTAATCTTGCTGAGGATCCCTTGTATTGCCTCTACTACTTTCAAGATTTTGTCTTTGGACATTAATAATTTAATTATAACATATGGATCTCTTTGGGTTTATTTTTCCTGGTGTTTCATGAGTTCTTGGATGTGTAGTTTATACCTTTCATTAATTGGAAAATTGGGGGCCAGTATTTCTACCAATATTTTTTTCTACTTCTTCTAGGATTGTCATAATGTATAGATTGATAAACTTTATGGCATCCCATAGGTCTCTTGGACTCTATTTATTTGTTTTATTCTTTTTTCTTTCTTCTCTTCAAATGGGTAATTTTAGCTTCTCTAGCTTCAGGTTTGCTCATTCATTTTTTTCTATCTGCTCAAATCTGCTGTTGAATGCCATTGTTGATTTTTTATTTCAACTATTGTATTTTCTCAGCTCTATAAATTCTATGTGGTTCCCTTTTGTAATTTCTATCTCTTTAATGATAGTTTCTACTTGTTCTTACACTGCTTTCCAGTTTCCACATACTTGCCCTGTGCTGGGGTGGTTTTTGACAGATTAGCAGGGCCTGCTCTGAGCCTAAAAATCAATCTAAGATGAAAGCTTCATTTCTTCTCCGGTCTTTGTGCATACATCTTGATGCATATGGCTTTCACAGTTCCCCTATATGAATGTCCTAATTTCCCAAAAGTTTTACTCAAGCTTCTCCCTGAGGTCTTATGTGGTCTGTCATATGTTTCCACCTGTAATCTTTTGCCCTAAGCTTCCACCGGTCTGTAATCTCCCTGAAGAAGTGCCTGTCAGTTTTTCTGCCTGAGATCTGAGATACATAAAATGAGAACAGATATTCGGGCAAGACAGGTTGAAATATTGCAAATAAGGTTTACTTCAGTGCCAATTCTGACCTTAAGCTTAAAAGTGTATTATACTCTCTCTCACTTTTATACTCAACTCTGTCCCCAGGCACATTATATCCCAGTTTTTATACTGTGTTCCTGGATTAGGCACAGATTTTTTTCTGGGGGTACTGATTATAGTATTATAATTTTTAAAAAAGAATTGTTTATATATTATAGCTAATTTGAACAAGTCAGTTTTTACTGTTCCTCACAGTTTGCTACCTTTATATAAAACCTTTGTGTGTGTGTGTGTGTGTGTGTGTGTGTGTGTGTGTGTGTGAGAGAGAGAGAGAGAGAGAGAGAGAGAGAGAGAGACTTCTCCTATAAACTTTTAATAGTAACAATGCAAATAAATAATTGTTCTATAGCTAATGTCTTTAAAAACCATACTGGATTTTTTTCCAGATTTCAGGAAGAAAAGCAAAAGTAGACATTTATGTTTTAAATCCAAAGTGTGTTACTCTCAGTGAACTATATGGACAACTGGATCCTAATACTATGGAATGGACTGATGGATTATTATCAGCAACAATTCGAAGTTATGTCTATTTTAACACACCAGAGAACTCAAAGAAAGACATTGATCCCAGATTACCATCAAGAATCTCAGATTTATCCAATGTAAGTTTAATATTGAATGAATATTTTTATTTAACTAATGTGGATTATTTAATTGCTTATCCAAAGACTGATATTAAAACATCATTAGATTTCTGTTAGTGTAAAAGTAAATTTTAAAATGTTATGAATAGCTTTTAAAGAGATAAAAATTGTACGTTTTTTAAAAATGGAAAATATACCATTGAATTTTAAAATGGTCAGTAAATGACAGAATGAAGGTAAAGATATTTGCTTTTAAAGGAACACAAAGTGAATTAAGTTTGAATGGAAAATGATCTAGTGATTCCACCACCACCAATATACCTTACAAATTAATGGGAATAAAAAACCCTTTGTTAGAAAAGTGAATGAAGTATTTGATACAAGACTTGTCACAGAATAAATACAAATGGCAAAAAAGGAAAATTTTTCTTCTCATTAGTAGTAACTAGAGATTACTGGTAAATTTCATTAGGTAAAACTTATTAACATAAAGATGATGTTTGAAACCAAACAGAGAAGCCAGGTGTGGTGGCATGCACCTGTAATCCCAGTTCCTTGGGAAGCTGAGGCAGTAGGGTCACATAAACCTGGCAGTTCAAGACTACCATGGGCAATATTGCAAGACTCCATCTCAAAGAATAAGAATAAATAATAAAACTAAATAGATTAACAAAGATTTTTTTTAAATGGGAAAACAATATTTCACATTTACTAGATTGTGAAGTAGAAATTTATATGTATCTGAAGATAATATTTGGAATATACATTGAGATTTAAAACCAGACATTCCTTTTGATTCAGAAATTTACTCCTAATAATTTATATAAAGGAAATAAAATTTTATTGGGTTGTTGCTATTTTTATATTGGCATGAGAATCATTTCTACATTAAAAAGTAATTAATCATTTATCTGTCATGTGCTATACATAGTTTCTCCAGTCCATGAAAATGTTTATCAATATATTCTTTGGTAAATTGTAACTTTTCAATCACACCCTGAAAAGATTATTCTTAGTCTAGGATTATTCTGGTAAATTGATAGTTGCATAATAACAAACATACAGTAAACCCATTTAAACCTTTGATTTGTGTGTAATTCATTTTAGTGTAAGTGATTGTTTTCCCAAATGGAAAATTGTTCTGACACAATTGGGCAACTCATCTCTTTCACAGTAACATAAAATGATACTAGATACTTAAATGTGGGTCTGTTTCTGCATTCTTTTTTTTTAATGCAATTTCTTTTTTTTCCCCCATTTATTTTATTGCATTTTAGGTTTTGGGGTACATGTGAAGAACATGCAAAATTGTTGCATAGGTACACACGTGGCAGTGTGATTTGCTGCCTTCCTCCCCATCACCTACATCTGGCATTTCTCCCCTTGCTATCTCTCCCCAGCTCCCCACCCTCCACCGCCCCTCCCCTATTTCCCCCCAACTGGCCCCAGTGTGTAGTGCTCCCCTCCCTGTGTCCATGTGTTCTCATTGTTCAACACCCGCCTATGAGTGAGAACATGCGGCGTTTGATCTTCTGCTCTTGTGTCAGTTTGCTGAGAATGATGGTTTCCAGGTTCATCTATGTCCCTACAAAGGACCCAAACTCATCGTTTTTGATGGCTGCATAATATTCCATGGTGTATATGTGCCACATTTTCCCTATCCAGTCTGTCATCAATGGGCATTTGGGTTGGTTCCAGGTCTTTGCTATTGTAAACAGTGCTGCAATGAACATTCATGTGCACGTGTCCTTATAGTAGAACAATTTGTAATCCTTTGGATATATACCCAGTAATGGGATTGCTGGGTCAAATGGAATTTCTATTTCTAGGTCCTTGAGGAATCGCCACACTGTCTTCCACAATGGTTGAACTAATTTACGCTCCCTCCAACAGTGCAAAAGTGTTCCTATTTCTCCACATCCTCTCCAGCATCTGTTGTCTCCAGATATTTTAATGATCGCCATTCTAACTGGCGTGAGATGGTATCTCAATGTTGTTTTGATTTGCATTTCTCTGATGACCAGTGATGATGAGCATTTTTTCATATGTTTGTTGGCCTCACATATGTCTTCTTTTGTAAAGTGTCTGTTCATATCCTTTGCCCACTTTTGAATGGGCTTGTTAGTTTTTTTCTTGTAAATCTGCTTTAGTTCTTTGTAAATTCTGGATATCAGCCCTTTGTCAGATGGGTAAACTGCAAAAATTTTTTCCCATTCTGTTGGTTGCCAATTCACTCTAATGACTGTTTCTTTTGCCGTGCAGAAGCTGTGGAGTTTGATTAGGTCCCATTTGTCTATTTTGGCTTTTGTTGTCAATGCTTTTGGTGTTTTGGTCATGAAGTCCTTGCCTACACCTATGTCCTGAATGGTTTTGCCTAGATTTTCTTCTAGGGTTTTTATGGTGTTAGGTCTTATGTTTAAGTCTTTAATCCATCTGGAGTTAATTTTAGTGTAAGGTGTCAGGAAGGGGTCCAGTTTCTGCTTTCTGCACATGGCTAGCCAGCTTTCCCAACACCATTTATTGAACAGGGAATCCTTTCCCCATTGCTTGTTTTTGTCAAAGATTGGATGGTTGTAGATATGTTGTGTTGCTTCCGAGACCTCTGTTCTGTTCCATTGGTCTATATCTCTGTTTTGGTACCAGTACCATGGTGTTTTGATTACTGTAGCCTTGTAGTATAGTTTGAAGTCCGGTAGTGTGATGCCTCCAGCTTTGTTCTTTTTGCTTAGAATTGACTTGGCTATGCGGGCTCTCTTTTGGTTCCATATGAAGTTTAAGGTGATTTTTTCCAGTTCTGCGAAGAAGGTCATTGGTAGCTTGATGGGGATAGCATTGAATCTGTAAATTACTTTGGGCAGTATGGCCATTTTCACAATATTGATTCTTCCTAACCATGAACATGGAATGTTTCTCCATCTGTTTGTGTCCTCTCTTATTTCATTGAGCAGTGGCTTGTAGCTCTCCTTGAAGAGGTCCTTTACGTTCCTTGTTAGTTGTATTCCTAGGTATTTTATTCTCTTTGTGGCAATTGTGAATGGAAATTTGTTCTTGATTTGGCTCTCTTTCAGTCTGTTATTGCTGTATAGGAATGCATGTGATTTTTGCACATTGATTTTGTATTCTGAGACTTTGCTGAACTTGCTTATCAGTTTCAGGAGATTTGGGGCTGAGACGATGGGGTCTTCTAGATATGCAATCATGTTGTCTGCAAATAGAGACAATTTGACTTCCTCCTTTCCTATTTGAATGCCCTTTATTTCTTTTTCTTGCCTGATTGCTCTGGCTAGAACTTCTAATACTATATTGAATAGCAGTGGTGACAGAGGGCATCCTTGTCTGGTGCCACATTTCAAGGGGAATGCTTCCAGTTTTTGCCCATTCAGTATGATATTGGCTGTTGGTTTGTCATAAATGGCTTTTATTATTTTGAGATACGTTCCATCAATACCTAGCTTATTGAGGGTTTTTAGCATAAAGGGCTGTTGAATTTTGTCAAAGGCCTTCTCTGCATCAATTGAGATAATCATGTGGTTTTTGTCTTTGGTTCTGTTTATGTGGTGAATTATGTTTATAGACTTGCGTATGTTGAACCAGTCTTGCATCTCCGGGATGAAGCCTACTTGATCATGGTGGATAAGCTTTTTGATGTGCTGTTGCAATTGGCTTGTCAGTATTTTATTGAAGATTTTTACATCTATGTTCATCATGGATATTGGCCTGAAGTTTTCTTTTCTTGTTGAGTCTCTGCCGGGTTTTGGAATCAGGATGATGTTGGTGTCATAAAATGATTTCGGAAGAATTCCCTCTTTTTGTATTGTTTGGGATAGTTTCAGAAGGAATGGTGCCAGCTCCTCTTTGTATGTCTAGAATTTGGCTGTGAACCCATATGGACCTGGGCGTTTTTTGGGTGGTAAGCTCTTAATTGCTGCCACAACTTCAGACCTTGTTATGGGTCTGTTCAGGGTTTCGGCTTCTTCCTGGTTTAGGCTTGGGAGGAGGCAAGTGTCCAGGAATTTATCCATTTCTTCCAGGTTTATTAGTTTATGTGCATAGAGTTGTTTATAATAATCTCTGATGATGGTTTGAATTTCTGTGGAATCTGTGGTGATATCCCCTTTATCGTTTTTTATTGCATCAATTTGGTTATACTCTCTTTTCTTTTTTATTAATCTGGCTAGTGGTCTGTCTATTTTGTTGATCTTTTCAAAAAACCAGCTCCTGGAGTTATTGATTTTTTCAAGGGTTTTTTGTGTCTCTGTCTTCTTCAGTTCTGCTCTGATCTTAGCTCTTTCTTGTCTTCTGCTAGACTTTGAGGTTTTTTGATCTTGCTCCTCTAGCTCTTTCTGTTTTGACGATAGGGTGTCAATTTTTGATCTCTCCTTGCTCCTCATGTGGGCACTTACTGCTATATATTTTCCTCTAGAGACTGCTTTAAATGTGTCCCAGAGATTCTGGTATGTTGTGTCTTCATTCTCGTTGGTTTTGAAGAACATCTTTATTTCTGTCTTCATTTCATTGTTTATCCAGTCAACATTCAAGAGCAAGTTGTTCAGTTTCCATGAAGCTGTGTGGTTCTGGGTTAGTTTTTGAATTCTGAGTTCTAACTTGATTGCACTGTGGTCTGAGAGACTGTTTGTTACGATTTCCGTTCTTTTGCATTTGCTGAGGAGTGATTTATTCCCAATTATGTGGTCAATTTTAGAGTAGGTGTGATGGGGTGCTGAGAAGAATGTATATTCTGTGGATTTGGGGTGGAGAGTTCTGTAAATGTCTATTAGGTTTGCTTGTTCCAGGTCTGAGTTCAAGTCCTGGATATCCTTGTTAATTTTCTGTCTGGTTGATCTGTCTAATATTGACAATGGAGTGTTAAAGTCTCCCACTATTATTGTGTGGGAGTCTAAGTCTCTTTGTAGGTCATTAAGAACTTGCCTTATGTATCTGGGTGCTCCTGTATTGGGTGCGTATATATTTAGGATTGTTAGCTCTTCTTGTTGCATTGATCCTTTTACCATTATGTA